AGTGACAAGAAACACTGGCCTCACAGGATGGGGGTGGAGCCGGCACTTTCCTCCCTGCCCCAATGAGAACCCAAGTCATTGCCCACAAATGACCTCTCTGGCTTCTGATAAAGCTGCTTAATGGCCATCATCTCAGAGACTCAGAAACAAATCTTGGAACCCAGCGGCTTTTGGCAGGAATGCGACCAGTCCCCGCAGTAGATTACTGTCACCGGGCCACCCCAGGTGGGAATAGGTTTCGTGCGTTGGCCTGTTCCCCCTGGCAGCTTGGTGGCTGCCATCCTCCAGAGGCCATTGAACAGTCAGGTTTGGGCCCACAGTGACGAGACATCTTGGGCCTCACGGGATGGGGGTGGAGCCGGCCCTTTTCTCCTGGCCCCAATGAGAACCTGAGTCACCACCCACAAACGGCCTCTCTGGCTCCTGATCAAGCTGCTTAATGGCCATGATCTCAGAGACTCAGAAACAAATCTCGGAACTCAGCGGCTTTTGGCAGGAATGTGCCAAGTCCACGCTGTAGGTTATCAGTGCCAGGCCACCCCAGGAGGGAATGGGTGCTGTTCCTCCGCCTGGTCCCCCTTGATGCCTCAGTGGCTGGCATCCTCCGAGGCCATTGGACAGTCAGGTTTGGGCCCACAGTGATAAAACACGCGGGGCCTCACCGGATGGAGGTGGAGTCGGCCCTTTCCTCCCTGCCCCAATGAGACCCCAGGTTGCCGCCCATGAATGGCCTCCCTGGCTCCTGATCAAGCTGCCTAACGGCCATGATCCCAAAGATTCAGGAATAAATCTCGGTACCCAGCAGGTTTTGGCAGAAATCCCTCCAGATTTAATTGTTAAAATTTCAGAACCCCAAAATTGTGTGGCCACTACTGTGGCTGTGTGATATCATATGTTATGCATAACCAGCAATAGAAAACAAATTGTTTATGGTAGCCTTTATGGCAGATCTGAGTGTTGGGGTAAAATCCCAAATAATAATGGTGGGTCTGGAGTCAAAATATTAAAGTAAAGTAAAAGGCCAATTAATTAAAAAAAATTTTAAAAAATATTGAATGTAATCAAAGTAGAGAGAGAGTAATGTGGAAATCATTTGCCCCACAGGTCGGAGGAGGGTCTGGGATGGGGGGATATACTGGGGTTTTTGGTGGTAGAAAATGGGCACTGGTGAAGGGACGGGTGTTTCATCATTGTATGACTGAGACTTAAACCCGAAAGCTTTGTAGCTGCTCTCAGAGTGATTCAATAAATAAATTTGTAAAAAAGAAAAAAAAAAGAATGTTGGATTTGCAAAAGTCCAAGAGCCATCTAGGTCTCTCTGCTCCCCAGAATCCAGGCACAAGAGGAAAGACATAAGTCGCTAGTTCAAATTACAATTTGCATGAAAGATAACCTGAAAGCCAAAACACCTCCTTTTCTAGGAGAAACATTTCTTTCTTTTCATGGGTTTCATCTGGGACAGGCTGTGACACTAAACCCCTATGAACCTTGTCAGACTTACTCACCTGACTCCTCTCCTTCCACCTCTGAGTTCAGGTCTGTCTTCTAATTTGGGGGTTCTTGCTCAGATGCTGGGGTCTGCACTTAAGCAGATGCTTCTCCCTCAACTGCCCTTGTCTCCCCAAAGCCATATCATTTGAAACCAGGTCAGCAGGTGCAAAGAAGGAGCAGGCAATGCATCTTAATTATCATCCCCTAACTACCCCCACTAGCATTGCTGGTCTCGTTAAACTGCCATCAATCTAAAATGTGACATTTAAGCCAAGAAGTCTGTATTCCTTCCCTGATGTCTCCAGTTTTCTAACCAGCAGTGCTTTCTAACCACCTTCAAACTCTCCCCTAGATTGGAGCTGGTGTAGCTCAAAAACAGGCATGGGATGTTAATGAGACAGAACTGCCAACTTTCCACCTCACCTGGCCCAGAAGAAGGTAGGGTGCACACTTACACCCCTTCGAAGGAGGGCTGTTCAGAGCAGGCAAAGAACTTTGAGAACTTCCATCTTAGATGGCATTTCAATAAGAGGTGTCTCACGAACCCTGATGGCAGTTGACCAAGGACAGTATCTCAAAAAGACAGATAAGCTATTGCCAAAGTTTCCAGAGGGGAAGACAGGGATGTCTAAATCCTTTCTCAGTACCTCTTTTCTGCCTCCAAGTCAGTGTCTGTTTTGCAAAACAGGAGCATAAGTCAAACAGAAAAACATTGTTTTACCACAGTGGCCCTGGAAAGTAGAGGGTGCTAAGGAATGGGGTGTGGACACCATCATAGAGAAGCCCTTTCCAGAGAGTCTGGAGTGGACACTATATACATTCTGACATCTGCTATCCTTGCTCCCACAGTGGCCAGTCCTCAGTTTCAGGATTCATTTACCAGGTGAAGAAATGGCAGGAGCTGTGATTGGCTTGAGGGAGCTGCCAACGTGTTTCCATGCTGGAAAATCGACATCAGCCTCCCACCATCCCCCAGGTGGTCAGGACATAGCACCAGATCCGCCGGGTAGTTTCTGGCCTCTCCTACAGAAATTCAGTAAGTTCCTGTTTCCAGAAAAAGTCAGTGTAGGGGTTCCCCAGCCCACCCTTTTATCTCCTCATTGGGGAAATGTGATCATAATTTAAGAGATAATGCCAGAGACGCCAGTAACACCTTCCCTCCAAATACACAGTATTCTCATTATATATTTTAAATAGTACTCTTTTTTCTGTTTTTCAAGCTAGCTCATTTTATTTTTTTTCAGTTGCGTTTGTTTTGCTTTGGGGCCACATCTGGTGGTGCTCAGAGCTTACACCTGGCTCTGAACTTAGGGTCACTCCCAGCCAGGCTCGGGGTATTCTATGGGGGTGCCAGGAACTGAATCCTGGCTGGCTGCATGCAAGGCAAAAGACCTACCCTTGTTTGTTTGGGTTTCTTGCTGTATCTTTTTTTTTAAGTCCTGAAAATAAAGACTTTTTCATCTTTATTTTTATTAAAGCTCTGAAGGCTAGAACTGTCCCAATCCTCACCTGGCTGTGTGTGGCTTTATTACAGCAAATTGAGCCCAAAGACTCTGGTCTTAACCTAGATGCTAATGAAAAACCAGCCTGAGTCATGTTGCCATGGCGACTGCTATTGCTCCAAGCCCTATGGTTTTCAAACAACGTTTGCGTTCCTTCTCCAAAGCTCACTGGGGCTGCTGGAGTTGGGCCAGATCTTTTTCTTAGAGGGTGCAGAGTGACTGCCACGGTAAAAATAAATAAATAAATAAATAAATAGATAAATAAAACCTCAGGGCCTCAGCCTTTGTACAGCTAACCTTCGCGCTGGATTGCATTTGACAACATGCTATTACAAACGGATTATGACGTCCCATGTGAGAGGGACCAAGTGGCTTACTCAGCTCACTAGACCGGAGGTGAGAAAAATGCATAAGAACCCAATTTTCTGATGCAGAAGCCTCCTGAGCTTCTTGCTCATTTCCAGAGCTGGAGGCAGGCAGCACTGACTCCATGCCCACGCTGGATGCCCATGCTGCCTCTCCACATGAGCAATGCCAGCAGATGTGCCCTGTGTGTGTGGAAGCAGACTGGCTCCTTGGCAGGTGACTCAGCTCTCTATTTCGGAATCCGGAAGTTGGGAGTCACAATTCCTCCCTCCTGGGCACTGTTCTGAGGACCGAGTGGATTAATCTGCCTTAACTTCTGGGTCACAGCAAGTGCCCAAACCCTTCATTTATTCCAGGAACTAAACCTGTAGCCAGAGAGAGAGTTCATGGACCAAGGTACAGCTCAAACCCTAGCACCAAGCAGTCTTCAGAGCCGCATCACCAGGTGTGGTCCTGGAGGTCCCCATACCCTCCACAGTGGCCCAAGTCATTTCCAGTACATCTCCAGCCTGACATGGAGTGCCCACCTGGCTTTCTGAGAATTACCAGGAGTGACTCCAAACCTCATGAGCACTGTTTGAGGCCCTTCACCGCATCCCATCCACAGCCCCCATAACTTCCCAGCCAAAAGGATCCAAAACCGTAGCCAAGGAGTTTGCAATCCCCTAAGGTCTGGTGATATCTACTCTGCAAGGCAGCTGGTCAGTACCAGTTCAGAACAAAGCAGTGGTCATGGGAGAGACCCACAGCAGAGCAGGCTGTATGCGATGGCTCCAAGTTCAAAGCCCAGTAGATTGTTGCTCCTCTCTCTACTCAGTTCCCGAATCCTGACTTCAATCAGTCTATCAGGAAAGGCTGTCATTTTCTAAAGGGCAGGTTTCTCCTTTCCCTGATAGGAATTCATTTTGCTCCAAGAGAAGGAAAACGTCCTCTTAATTTAAATGTCCCCCTCCCTGGAATTTAAATTCTAACTAAGCACACCTCAGTACCTTAAAACAAAACAAAACCATTAATTTGTCTTGCACCTTTAAATGGCTCTTTAAACTGGCACGAAACAGCAGTGAAGTAGCTAAGCAAGCTGTGAGATTCAGCATGGCCAACGAAATAACATTGCTTTTTCTTTGAAAACCCACACGGACCCACAATCAGTGCTCCGGCTCATCTGCCTTTGACCCCAAGGCATAAGCGCCACGGATGTGGCAGGTTTCAAACACACACTGGTTTGGTTCCCCATCCCTTTGCCTTTCCAAATCCTGCAATGTTGCCTGCTTTAGCCTCTGGCATGTTCATATAAACTGAGAACATCAGGTTTCCTGGGGAAAGCTGGAAGAGAGTATCAGCTTATAGGAACAGAAGCAGCAAGAAAGAGGCAGCTTGGCAGTGCATCCCTGCAAATACCCGCTCCAGGTCACCTGTCCTTAGCAGGGCACTGCTTGTCCCTTCGTTTGCTGAGCCCAGGGCCTTTGGGCAAACCCTGGTCCACAGACACTGACCCATGTGCAATGCCAGACTATGGCCTTGGCTAGAGGCAGCAAAGACAAAGAATTATTATTATTATTATTATTATTATTATTATTATTCTCTGGACGATCCCTTGGTCATACCAAACACGCTGTGATCACACCTGACCATCAGACTCACCTTGACTTGGGAGGCGGCGGCGGCGGTGAGAACGTCTCCATCCCACTTCTGTCTTTGGGGAACTCAAAGGCGAAAGAGGCCGATTTGCTCATTCCTACCCCAACCTTGCCGTTGGGCTCAGCAGTGCCGTCCGGGGGCCGGAGGCGGTGCCAGGTCGAGGAGTTTGCTTGGTCCGGGGCGTTTTCCTTCTGTCTGCCCCTGCTTTGACTCAACAGATCCTGGTCCACCTCCTCCTCTTCCTCGATGCGGCACTGGCGGCTCCAGGCCCCAGTCTGGAAGCGCGGCCGCCTCTGGTCAAAGGAGGCGGCGGAAGAGGGGGCGGGTGGGGGCACCTTGGCAGTGTCGTGGGTGGCAAAGCCGTTGGGCCGGCAGGGAGCGGCGGGGTCAGTGGGGGCCCTGGATGAAAGCTGGGGCCCAAGGCCAGTAGTCCCGGAGTGTCCTTCAGTGAGGTCGGAAGGAGGGAAGGCGGAGGGCGACCCGGGGGACCCCCCGGGGCTGCTCTTGGACAGCTTCGGGGGGATGGCAGGCCGCCCCTTGTGCGCCTTCTCGCTGGCAGCGTCCAGCGCCTGCCCGGCCGGGGTGTCCTCGGCACCCCCGGCGTCCGTGCGCCGGCTCACCGACTCGCGGGGCCACTGCACCCCGACGGCCGAGTCGGGGCTGCTCAGGTAGATGGTCCTGCGGTCCTCCTCGGGGTGCGCTGCCATGACTGTGATGGTGGCCGCAAGCTGGGGCGTGGGGTCCGGACCTTCCCGCTCCCGGCCCCAGCCCGCTGCAGCTTTGGGGGTCCAGGCGTTGGAGGTCCGCACCAGGCCCTGCGTCTGGGCCTGGGGGGCGGCGGGCGGCTCGGCTTTGGCCTGGGGCCTGGCCAGCGCGGGAACGGCCTTCTTCCGCTTGGTGCTCTCGGCGTAAATGGGTTCGGGCGGCGCGGGCGGGGGCTCCGCGGGCAGCCCCGGGCCCCTGTTCGGGGTCCCCAGCGCGTCCCCAGGCGCGGGCATCCCGGGAGCCGCCGGCTCCTTCACGAGGGAGCAGTAATCGCTGTCCAGGTGCAGGGCAAAGGGGCTGCTGCTGCCGCTGCTGCGGCTCCCACAGGAGCGCCCGTCAGAAGAAGTGGCCGCCTCACTGGTCAGCGGGGCCCTGCGCGAGCCCAGGCGGGGCGGCGTCTCCGGGGGGCCCGCGCCCCAGCGCGCCGCATCCTCCTCCGGGGGCGCCGGCTTCCAGCGGGCCGGCGGACAGTCCCCTGCGCCCGCGCTGGCCTGGGACCCCTGGGCCGGGGGGGCGTCCGGGCCGGCCGGGCTCCCGGGACAACAGTCCAGGATGGAGCAATACTCGCCGCCCTCGCTGTCCCCGGACGGGGAGCACCTCTGGTCACTGTCGTCCTCCGATGCCAGGGGCTCAGGCTGGGGCTGTGCAGGAAGGTAGGGTCCCGGCCCCGGGGGGCAGACGGACGGCAGGCCGGCGAAGGTGGCCAGTTTCTGGCGGAAGCTGTCCTGGGCCGGGGGCAGCTCTGGGTGCGAGCCTGTGGGCTTCTCGTCCCGGCCAGCCTTCTCGGCCGGGTAGCCCGTGGGGTGGAAGGTGGGGCTCCCCCGCGCCTCCAAGCTGTGCAGGCCCACCATGGTGTAGGCAGGGGGGCAGCGGGTGTGGCCATCTGCGGAGGTAGGGGACCCGGGCGGCCTCTGCACGCCCCGGAAGCTGCCCAGATATACGATGGGTACGTCCTCTTGCGGCTTGGGGAGCTGGTGCTTGCCGGGGGTGCGTCTCCAGATGACCTGCACAGCGCCCCACCAGGAGAAAAAGACTCACATTAGACCTTGCCAGAGAGAAGAGAGAGAGCAGAGGTGGGGGCGGGGGCGTCCTTGTCAGCATGGGGATTGAGCAAGGGTATCCAGGCACCCGGACTTCCCAGGGTCCCTCAACCTCTCCCAGTCGCGGGGACACCAATGGACCCAAACTCAGTTACACAGTGCCCTGTGCTTTCCACCCAAGGTTTGCTATTCGGGTTTAGCTGTGAGGGGGGAGAAAAGAAACTCCTCAAGGCTGGAGAGACAGTCCAGGGGTGAAGGCAATTGCCTTGCACTCAGCCAGCCTGGCTTGGATCCAGGGCCCTGCCAGAAGTGATCCTGGAGTACAGCTGGGTCTGACTCAAAGCGAAGCAAACAAAATTCAAACTGATTTGCCTTCTTGAATAAGGGAAGTCCGCCAGGCTTTGAAAAAGTTTGGGGTTTTAATTTTGGCTTTGAGTTCCTTCATTAATTGATCACTATATATTCCCTAAGGAAACCAAAGCCATAAGGACTTTAGAATCTATTTTTATCTTTGTCAGGGGTGGGGAGGTGGCTCATTGCCCCAGGCAGGGTTCAGAGGGCCCAGGAGCCACTCCCAGTGAAGCTTGGCCCAGCTGTCCAGGCTGCAGAATTCTGTGCTCAGACCTGCTCAAAGTCTGGCAGTGGGCTGCTGCTTAGGTGAGGGGTGGGAGTGGGGTTCACCAGGGCTGCTCTGGTGGTGCTGTTACTAGGGTTTAAACCCAGGACCTCACATGTACAGGCAATACATCCATCTATGTATCTTGGCTCTTTGGGCTACCACCCAGCCCCCCCATAAGGCACAATGGTTTTCTTTTTCTCTTTGAGTTTTGGGTGTCACACCTACTGGTGCTCTGGGGACCACTAGGCCAGGGATCGAACCTGGGTCTTCTGCATGCAATGCATATGATCAGTCTGCTGGGTTATCTCTTTGGTCCTCCAAAGACTTTTTCATTGATTTTCATTTCTATGAGACTTTTTTTTTCAAACACTCTGGTAGTTTGGTTTGAGCTGGGCAGGAGTGGGCTCTGAGGGGGGCTTGATGCCCTTCTTCTCCCAGACCCATCCCCAAAAGGTGCTCTTGCTCTCAGCAGGCCCTCCCCTCAGCGCACCAGTGACTGGCCTGGTTTAAGCCACAGCGAGGCGTGCACTACTCATTCCCCTCACTGAAGTCACCGCCTCTCCTCCTCCTCTTCTCCCCACGTCTCTCCACACCCCATACTCCTAGAAGTCACGTTCAGGCTGGAACAGCATGTAGGGTAACTCTGAATCACAGTGGCCTGGGGAAGAGGGAGTGGGGGGTAAGTGCCAAGGGATAATGGAGCCTCTTGAGAGGGGGCAGGGCTCAGCAGGAAGCATGGAGCCACAGTAAAGACCTCTGTCTCCTCAACTGAAAACGGACTTCTGATTTCACCTGCGCTCACACAACATCCCCCACCACCGCACATGAGTGCAGGTGAGCTAGAAGAGGCAGCGAGGCAGGGGGGCTGCCAGCAAGCTCTGGGGCCATGTCCTGGGCAGGGTGTTTCCTGGACATGCAGAGAGGAAGCAGCTGTGATGGTCTTAGCCCCGACCCTTCCCAAAACCACACCTTTTAACCACACCACACACACTCAGCTGTGCAGAATGGGCACAGGCTTCAACTGCTGTTGAAAGCTGGGAAAACATTAAAGCTGGGAAAACTCGGGTTTCAAAATGGAAAATATGGGACCAGAGAGATCTTACAGTGGGTAAAGCACTTGCCCTGCATGCGATGGACCTGGGTTCAATTCCCCCTACATGTGGTTCCCTGTGCCCTGCCAGGAGTGATCTCTTGGTGCATTTAAAAGAGTAAGCCTGGAGAGCCCTGAGCATTGCCGGGTGTGGCCCCAAAACAAAAACCAGGTTATTTTTAGACAAGATCCAGCGTGTTCAGGGTGGTATGGCCATAGACTAGAAAAAACAAAAAAAAAAGGTTATTTTTAAAAGAAAGAAAGAAAGAAAGAAAGAAAGAAAGAAAGAAAAGGAAATAGAGGTCCAGGAGATTGCTCAACAACCTGAAGAATATTCTCTACATGTTGGAGCCCTGGATTCCACACCTCACACCATGTTCCCCAGAGCACTGCTGAGAGTACTCCAAGCATGGTGCAGGGACAGATGTGGCCAATAATCCCCCCATCCTACCCTGTGAAAATATGGACAGTAGTTGGGAACTGGATGAGGATAAGGAATTTTTGTTTAAAACCTTTAACTGTGACAAAGGTATTGTGGCTATATTTTTAATAGAGACCTTGTGTTTTAAGGAGACACTGAAATGAAGCGATGCCTGAGATGTGCTTTAAAATCAACTGAGAAGGGGGCGAGGATTGGAGGGATGGGGACTGGGAGGGATTCGTCACGCACAACTGCTAAGTTGGGTGTGTATTTACTAGGGCGGATAAGACTTTTTTTTTTTCATTCTCCCCCACCCCCCAGCTACTTCAGAGTAGTGTGCCCTTATATAACCTCGAGGAAGGGGCACACGTGGGGCAGGCGGCTGGGAAAGCATCCCGCCGGAGGCTTGCTCTAACAGCCCGCCCTGGCCACCGGCCAGTCCCCAAGTGTTACAACAGGAGCAGCCCCTGTAAAAATACCACAACGCTTAGTCAGCCTTACCTGCGAGACATCGGAGCTCATGTTCCCCTCTGTCCACACATCAGAGGCCTCGGAACTCATCATGGTGGGCTTCACAGCAATGGTGGGCTTGGAGTAGGGGGAGCAGTTCACGCCTTCATCTTCCAGGCGGCAGAGCTCAGGCCTGGGGGCCAGGCGAGGAGGCGGTGCCAGGCCAGGGGCCAGCTGGTGGTCACTCCGCAGGCAGAAACAGTTCTTACAGGACCCGGGCTTCCAGATGTGCTCCACAAACTCACTGCACGCAGACATTTTCAGGCCCTCGGGGTTCAGTGGGATGGCCTGCTGCATCTTGAGCCGATGGGGTCCTGGTTCATCTTGTACTTGGTTCTCTGGGGGCGTCTGGTGGCAGGCAGCAGCGGGTTGCAGAAAGGATTCCTGAAAAGCAGAGCACTGGACTGAGGAGGGAACTCCCCAGCCTGGGGATGAGGCAGGGTAAATTCAGTCAAGAGGAGGAAGGAGGCAAGGACCAACAAAGGTAAAGCTTTGTAGGCTCATCCCACTCATTCCGACTTGTCATAGAGTTGGCACTCTCTAGAGCTGTGGCCTTATCACAAGCTACACAAACAAAACAGAACTCTGTTCTGTGAGCGGAGAGCATGAGACATTTTTGCACCTCAAAGTCTCAGCATTTTAAGGTTTGGGTCAGTTACAGTAAGAAGCTACCCGTGATGTATTTGAAATGCCAAACACAGTAACAATTAAGTCTCACAATGGAGGCCTTACTGGGCCCCCTCGAGCAAATCGATGAACAATGGGAGAACCGTGACCGTGAGTGACCGTGACCGTGACCGTGACAGGAAGAAATCACCTAGAGTTTTGAGATGAGAAGACTGACCCCTCAGGCATTGCTAGACATGAGGGTTCTAGAGGCTGGACATGATGCCAGGAAAAAAAAGGTGTGTGCGGCAGGAATCACAGCAGAGAAGCGCTTTCCAGAGACGTTACCGTGTGTGTGTGTGTGTGTGTGTGTGTGTGTGTGTGTTTGATTTGGGACACCTGGTGAAGCTCAGGGCTTACTCCTGGCTCTGTGCTCAGGGATCACTCCTGATGGTGCTTGGAGACCATCTGGGGTGCCTGGGATACAAACCCTGGTTGACCATTGGCATAGAAAGCACTTACTGCACTATCTCTCTGACCCCAAGAGATCATTTTTAATCAAGAATGACATGGCAGGGGAGACAAGCTTGGGCCCTGATACCAGCACTGGAGTCTATGCAGATGATCAAACTGAAGGAGAAAGGGAAGATGTGTGGGCGGGCTCGCTCCCCCTCACCTTGGCAGGGGCCTGGCTGGTATCTCAGGAATCTGCCCCCTCCCCTTGCTTAAGACATGTTACTCAACCCAGTGTTTAGTGAGCTCCAGAGAGCTGGGGCAGCAAGGCAGAAGTGGAGAGGAACTCAGAGGACTGCAGGTCCGTGGCACCAGGAAGTGGAGAGAATGACACTGGGAGGGGACCATCACCACCGTTATTTGTCCCAGGGATCATCCTGGGGGTATGTGGAGTCACTTGCTGAGTTAGTCCAAGAGCAAAATGGAAACATGGAACCTAGTTTACTCATTCCTGCGAGGGGCTCAAAGGTGCAGAATGGGTTAACCTGAGTGGATGCTCCTTGCCCGGGACACTGCCATCCTCATTTTCCAGATGTCGACATAATGACAGTGACAGAAACGAACAGTCATCCACACATGAGTCTGGTGAATCTACAGAAAGAAATCAACTTTGTGGACAACCCTTTGGAGTGCCACTGAGTGCAGAGTTGCTGGAAGCCCAAAGCTCCTTTTTCCTCCTTTGAGTGTTCTACCAAGGAGAGTGTTCAGGAGAAACTCCCCGCTGAGAATTCAGACTCAGGGGAAGAGATTCACATTAAGCTAACCCCAGCACAGAGTAGTGATAGTTCACATTTGAACGTGACCTAATCAACACAAACTGGAGTCAGTGTTAAATGGGGGATGATTCTGCCTTGAGGTTTGTGCTTCCTTTTACTCCCATGAGAATTTCCTCGGAGGCTGTCGGTCTCTAACTCAGTTCTTTTCAGCCTTTCTCTACCTGCAGACCAGCATGCACTGTGGTTCTGAAGAACGTCTGCTCGAAACTATCAACAGGGCTAACTAGGAAAGACTCACAATTCCAAGGATCATTTCAGAATCCTTGCAGGAAATGCTCTCATTCTTATCCCACATTCCCCACCAGGGGTGCTTATTCAACAAGGGCTGAAGCTAAATTTACCTCTTTTTCCCTCCCAAGTGAATGGTGAGTGCTGGCGCATCTTGTTTTTTTTGGTAATCTGAGCCACCTTTAGTGGTCAGCCTGAAAGTTTGTGTTTGGGGTCACCAGGGCTATGCCCTACGGTACTCTGGAGCAGGAGTGGGAAAACATGTGGTGCAAGGGATCAAACTCAGAGTCTCCCACATGCTAGGCAAGTGCGTGAGCTCTCTTCCTCATCCCTCACTGCATCTTGAAGCTAAGTGAGCCCTAAAATAAAAGATAAGTCATTGTCTTTTAGCAACCATTATTAGAGTCTTTTAGCAACCATTATTGAGATTCCTCTCTTGAAGATGATTACCAGTTAAACCACACACACACACAAATGTTTTGAGTGTGTGTGTGTGTGTAAATATATTCATGTAGCAGGTTCATTGCTTGCTAAATTCACCAGACAAGGACATAAGCATAGGATGAACCGGATTATTATTTTTCCTATCTCAGGCCCCACAGCCACAGCGCTCTAGGTTATGCTGCTAACCAGCAGAAGGGAGAGAAAGTTGTGTGCATTTGGGGATTCAATAGGGCAAGTGCCATGGCATATGCCTGCCTGAGATTAGAAAGTAGGTCCTTTGGTACAGGTGGCACCGTGGGAGTCTGTTCCACCTTCCTGGCCCCAGCAAACAAGGCAGGAGCTCCCACGCAGAAGCAGCTTGTAACCAGTTCTGAGTGGGCTCCCCGGTGGCTGAAGTGCCTTATAAGGCTGGACTATCCGAGAAGCCGGGCAGCGAACCACTTCCTCGGGCTATCAGTCACAGAGGCAGTCCTGGATAGCCTCAGAGCATTTCCTCCTTCACATGCAACCCTGGGCTCAAACAGTTATGGGGAGGGAGGGTGGGGAGCAGAGCTTAGTGCAGGGGCCCCCTGGCTAACCTTCATGCCCCCATTATGACTGACACCCCCACTAAAGCTGGAGATCTCTGTCAGCACTAGTGCTACAGGTTCTGGGACACTAGCAAGCTGAAGCTTCCTTCAGAACTCCTTCAGGCAGTCTTATGAGCTTTCACCTCCTCAGCTCTGACAGGGCAGAGTTCTCTGATGGTGAACCCCACTGGCTCCAAGGACTTGTGGGGGGTGTTTCTGAACAGAATGAAGCTCTCAGCTTTTCCCCACGGACTCAACGCATCCTGTGGAAACTGGCCTCTCAGAGGCGGCAAGGACATCTCACTACGGGTCGGGTCAGGAAAGCAGTTTGGTGGCTGGGGTTCCCCTATGCCCCCCCATTATAACTTTCCCCTTCTAGAGCCATTCTGTGCCCGGAAGGACAATGCCATCCTGGCTGTTTGGGGGGAGATGAGGGGAAACACAAGGGGCGCCCACCGAGCAGTGTGGTAGTGGGGAGCCAAGCGAGCCTACCAGTGCCCACTTGCCTCAGCTGAGAATGTCAACTTCCCAGCCCACACAACTTACCTCAGAGGAGAGCCAGCCCCCAGAATTATGCAAAATTCCCCCTCCAGTGGGAGGCTGCAGGGTAAGATTAAAAAGGGATCCGCAGCCTTTTTGTTGTCAGGTCCCAGTCATGATAAAATCGCTTTGCCTCTGCAAACTTCTGCACTAGATTTGCGGGCTACTGTGTGCAACACGGGAGCTGTCAGATCCCCTGGCCCTTGTCAGATTCATTTCAGAAAGCATCTGCAGAATCGGCACCGGTTTATGCCAGGCTCAGAGGCCCCACCCTCTGCATGTCAAACCCTGCTCTTGCTTTACCCTGAAGAAACAGAATTCCAGAGAGCGACCATCTAGAATTATTTATAATGAATACAACCCCAAGAACAGGAACTATATAGGGACATGATTTACACACTTGCGCATGTGACTACAGTGATTTCAACACTCTACTCAAAGGGGTGGCCCAGGGAACAAGAAAAAGGGGGAAAAAAACTTCAACCTACTCACAGTCCCCTTCACACAAAAGAAATGACAATCACAATATTCGCACCCAACTTTTTTTCTCCTTCTTGAATGCTGTCATTCCACCTCAGCAGTCAAGGCTTAGCTCCAACTACAATCCAAACCAGCCAGGAAGGCAGGCACCCAAATTCCACAGGACCCCAGGGACAGCCAAGTAAGGGCAGAGGGCTCCCTGCCCAATATCCAACTCAAAACCGAAAGGGGTTAATGTTCAGGCCAGTGGAAAGATGTCAGGAGTCTGGAAAACTCCCCCCACCTGCGCCCTGCGCGGTCTTTGGGCTGAGCCAAGCGCTGGGCACTGTGCAAGAAGGCTGAGTTTCACCTGAGAGTAGCAGACCCTGTCTGTGCGCAGGCCCTGCCTCGGGTCTCATTCGCGGCACTGGAAAAGTGGAAAGATCCCAAATGGGTGCGTGCGTGTGTGTGTGTGCATGTGTGTGTGTGTGCATGTGTGTGTGTGTGTGTGTGTGTGCGTGCGTGCGTGTGTGCGTGTGTGTGTGTGTGTGTGTGTGTGTGTGTGTGTGTGTAGGGGCAGCGTACAAGCAAAGGTACAGAACGTGCTCGCAGAACGCATCGCCTACTAGCGGGTTCCGCCAGGGCTCAGGGCAAAGGCATCCTCCCGTCCCCTCCGGAGGCTCGGGGGACTGGCATCCAAGCCGGGCTGCACAGACACGACACGAGCCGGCTTTCGCCCGCCGAGCCAGCAGCCCGGCCGCCTCGGCTTCCCTGACAGTAATTCCGGGCGGGCGGGAAGGAAGCGTCCACGCCAGCAGTCCCCCAGCGCTGTCCCCTGCCCCCACCGAGCCGCCCCGGAGTCGCCGTCCCCTGCCGGAACTCGAAGGAAAGTTTCCCCCGATTCCGAGAGCGCGATCCTCCGAAGACTCGGAAGCACCGCCGCCCGGATCCCGGGTGCGCCCGGGTGCTCCCGGGCTGGGGCGCCGCCACCTCGGGCGCACGCGGTCCCGCCGCTCCACCTTCCGCCAGGGGCGCCCCGCCTGTCACCCCGGGAGTTGGCGACAGGGGCGTTCCACCCACTCCCCTCCCCGTGGGGAGACCCGCCGTGCTCCTCCAAAGCTCTTCTCCCCCCGACCCCCCTTGCGACCCTGCTGCTTGCCAGACCGAGAAAAAGGAGGGGAAAAAAAAAAAAAAGAAACAGAGGCGGAACGGGCAGAAAGCGTGACGGGCTCACCTCGGGGCCGCGCGCCCTGCGTCCCGCCGTCGGTCGCCGAGCCTGCAGCCGCGCCGCGGGGCGCCCCGGAGCATTGTTTGCAGAGCGTGTGCGCGCCGTGCGGGCCCGCCGCGGCCGGGTGGCGTCTGCCGGGGCCCCGCGGCCGGGTGGCAGCTGCGAGCGCGGCTCCGCCCCCTCCGCCTCCGGTTACGCCGCACCTCCGCAGTCCGCCGGCCGCCCCGCACCCCGACCTGCGCCCGGGAGCCGGCAAACTCGCGGCGCGGGGTCCCCGCCTCCCTCTCCCCTCCCCGCCCCCTCACCCCGCCCCCCGCTCCCGCTCCTGCTCGCCACCACCGCAAAGCCCCGCCCCGAGCCCGAGACTTGGCGCCGCCTGACCCCCCGCCCACCCCCCCACCCCCGGACACCTCGAGCAGAGTTCCCTCCCACCCACCCCCACCCCCCTGCACCCCTTCCCCAAGCGCGGCTCTGCCCGGGCGAGTTTCGGTGTGGGCAGCCAGCTTTTGACCACAATGCCCGGCAAGGTATTCTACGTGCCGCCCTTCCGTGATGCTGGCTCTTAGGTGACCCGGGAGTGGGGTCTGCGGTGGGGTGAGGGGTTGAGGGGCTTCTGGAAGGAGGAAAGGAGACGCGCGGGACCCGGGAGGGGGGGCGGGCGGGGGTCAGGAGGGTTCCCGCATCCGAGGTGACTTGGGAGAGCAGCGCGGTGGGCACCGTGACGGTCTTGGATTGCGGTGGCTGGTGGGAGGAGGGTGGCGCCCGAGAGAGGGAGAGAACGGCTGAGAATAGTCTACCAGCTCCTGGGGACAGCCGGGATTCAGGGCCAGCTCTGTTCTCCGGACTCCAGGCCGATTGCTTCCTCTCTCGGAACTTCAGTTTTCGGGATGCGGAATGTAAGGGTTGGAGCGGGGAGCGCGGGGCTTCTGGTATCCCGGGACACGCAGACCCATATTATACCTGTGTGTCCCGGTGACTCATTCCCTGAAGCAGAAGCAGAGGTCCGCAGAGTCCCCGGGCTAAAAATCCTTGAGTTGAGAGTAGGACAGCCTATGACCTAGTCGGTCGCCTCCCTTCCGCCTGCCACCAAACCCGCTTGCACCTTGACCTGGGAGTTTCCTCCAGGGAGCCAAGGTCCCCTGGAGCTACCTGGTGCCTATCTGGGTGCAGGCGAAGTGCCAGTCTCTCCATCCCCATCCCCAGGTAATGTGTCTCTATCCAGATGTGGTCCACTGCCTCTTAGTGCACAATCAGGAACTGGGGGCTTCCCCACAGCTGCTAGGAGAAAGGCTGGGTCTGCCTCCCGCTTCCTGCACATTTCTCCTTGTGATCTGGGGTGCCCGCGCCGAGGTGGCAAGAAGCTGACACAACAGGGCTGAGAGTGAGGAGAGGAGAAAAGACAAATAGCTCTGAGGATTGATGTCTGTGGAGACACTCCCTCATGAGCCAGTGTCTGATGTCTCCTGGCTGTTATCATTTCTCAAGGAAGGTATAGGAGCACCTTGAAATGGCTTTATGCCCATTTTACAGAGAAGACAACTGAGGTCCAAGAGGGGTCTAGCTACTCTACTGTGGCATTCCACTCCTCATGCTGCCCTTCTCACAAGGTGGCTGGCAGATGAGCGCTGTTTCACTCCCTTTCCATAGCGAGGGGAAGGCATTTGAACAAACTAGCAAGAACCCCAGCTAGATTTCATCTGACTCCAACAAAAGTGAATTTACCCAAGATGGTTGTCAACCAGGAGGTAGGTGGTAATTTGTGCAGAATTGCTGAGCGGTTTCAGGAGGGTGCATGTCCATTAGCATATGAAAGGTCAACCCTCAGCTTGACTTCCAGGATTCAGGCTAGACTTTTCTGTGAGGTCCTGAGGTAGGAAACCCTGTCTCAGGAGACTGAGCTCCTAAGAGGCATTCTTTACCCCCTTTCACTTTCATCTCTATCTAATTTATCCCTAATGTATAAACAAGCCGAAGAAAGTAATTATAAGAAGCCATTATGGAACAGATGGGCTGTTCTCTAGCACGGGACAGTCATTGAAGGGCTAATCTCCCCCGCCCCTTCAAAATAAGCTTGTTCTTCACAAAAGCAACCGGTGCTGGCGCGGATGTGGTGAGAAAGGGACCCTCCTTCACTGCTGGTGGGAATGCCGACTGGTTCAGCCCTTTTGGAAAACAGTATGGACGATTCTCAAAAAATTAGAAATTGAGCTCCCATTTGACCCAGCAATACCACTCCTGGGAATATACCCTGGAGAGGCAAAAGAGTATAGTCGAAATGACATCTGCACTTGTTTGTTCATTTCAGCACTCTTTACAATAGGCAGAATCTGGAAAAAACCTGAGTGCCCGAGAGCAGATGACTGGTTAAAGAAACTTTGGTACATTTACACAATGGAGTACTATGTAGCTGTTAGAAAAGAGGAAGTCATGAAATTTACATACAAGTGGTACTACATGGAAAATATCATGTTAAGCGAAATGAGTCAGAAAGAGAGGGATAGACATAGAAAGATTGCATTCATCTTTAGAACATAAAGTAACAAAATAGGAGACTGACACCCGAGAATGGCCATGATTAGTACCACGAATTTTGCTCCATGGGTTGGAGGCCAGCTACACATGTTAGGGGAAAAGGGAGCTCAGATAGAGAAGGGCACACCAAATAAAGGGTGTTGTGAGGATCCTCCCAGGATGGGAGAAGCATGCTGAAAGTAGACCATAGACCAAATCTGATTGTCACCCATTGCCTCTTTTGCAAACCACAACACCCAATAAGAGAGAGAAAACAAAAGGGAATGCCCTGCCACAGAGGCAGGGTGGAATGGGGGAAAGATTGGGGGGGGGAGGGATACTGGGATCCATGGTGGTGGGAAATGGGCACTGGTGGAGGGATGGGTATTTGATCATTGTATAAACGAAACCCAAGCACAAAAATTTGTAAGTCTACAACTGTACCTCATGGTGTCTCACTAATAAAAATTAAAAAAAAAAATAAGCTTGTTCTTCAATGTTTAGAGGCACTCTCATGAAATAAATATGCCTTCTACATAGTTCTGATATATAACCTGCATCATTTTTTTTATGCTGTCATCGTGGCCTTTAAGAAGGTTTCATCTTACCAAATGAAAAGAATCAAAAGATACTTTAATCAAGTTCCTTTGATCCACATATAATTCCCTTTCTCTTATGTAGTACTCCACCAGGGGCTGGTAAGCATGTTACCTCTCGTGAAGCCATTGTAAACTCATGCATTTCGATATACACTTCTGGCTTGAACTTCCAAATTGCACCCTCTGAGGTAGTGTGGTTGGGTAGGCACAGTTGCTCTGCTTCTAGCTACTTATCAGTTCATTCTCATGAGACTTGTAACTGAAGAGCTTGGAGTCCCGGATACAGATCCTATCTGAAAGCAGAGAACAGACCAACATTCTGTAGATGGGGGCAGTTAAATTTGGGCCAAATAGGATAAGACACTGAACACAAGTTTTGGGGGAAGTAAGGGGAAATAGATTAGAATTTGAAAGGCAAGCATACATATTTAGAAATAATGTAATTCACACCGGTCAATTATTTGGTGAAAAGGTTTGCTGAGATGTTTGGCTGGGGTTTGAAACTACAAAGATCAGACCCATCATTACATACGTTACACTATATCTCCCCAGCTGGAGACTAGATCTCAAGTTAATGAAAAGGTGTCTCTCATCTTCAAGGGAGAAAGGTGTCCAGTTTTCATCAACTAAATGCCCTGTCCGCTGAACAATCCCTCCAGCCCCAGTAGACATCAATTACATAAACTTTCCACTTTGTGTTAGAGAATGAAATAAGATTATAGACTTCCCATTTGTTTTGTTAATGTAATCTACTCCCTCTCAGAGAGCCTGGCAAGCTACCAAGAGTATCCCGCCCACATGGCAGAGCCTGGCAAGCTACCCATGACATATTCGATATGCCAAAAACAGTAACAAGTCTCGCTATGGAGACGTTACTGGTGCCCGCTCGAGCAAATCGATGAACAACAGGATAACAGTGCTACGGTGCTAATGTTTATTGAGTAACTTCTACTTATGAAACACTGGCTGAGATATGATAGTGCAGAAGAAAAAAAAAGCACGAACGGTGAGTAAGGCACAAAACATGAGGAGACTCCTTCTATAAGAGACAAGCCCGAGGCAGTGGCGATTCAGAGAAGGAAGTGACAGAAATAAACACGACCTTTGGAGGTTAAGACACTTTCAGACTGTGAGTATAGGATCCACAAAGGACTGGACGTGGGGGAGGCAGGAGACTTTTTCAGGGACTTCCCTAACAATTCTGGCAGGAACTCGGCCATTGCAGACAAGTGTGGAGACACAGAGTGGCACTGGATAGGGGAAGCCCCACATGGGGGCACTGGCCATTCCTTATCCAAGTGCACGTTCCATTCGGAGTCTTCTCTCTCAGATGGCTCAGAAAGCGGGCAGAGATTAGAGATAAGGAAACTTGGAATTCCCTTTCTGGTGCAGCTGGAAGGGAGACATAGCAGCAGGCAGAAAAGGGTGGATGGTATAAGGATGGCTTTGGAAGACGTGAAGGGGGAAGCCCGGGAACTGGCTTCTTACAGATTAACTGGGAACAATAGATTGCTAACTAATAATTGCCTCATTGGCAGAGCACTTAAAGCGTGCTTGAACACCATGCAACTTGAATGCTGAAACTTCTCTCAAATCTCACACAAATCTGAGGCAGGTGGCTAACTGAGGGAAGGGAAGAAATGAAAAATGACTAACGTAACTTTAACCTCAAGGGACTGTAGAATGATGGTATTATTAGTACAAAGAGGAAAGTGATCAGTTTTAGCTTGTGTTCTCTTGAGCGTAGTGTGTATGGTGGTCCTCTGTGAAGGAAGCTAACCTGCCAATGAGTGTTTGAAATAAAAAAGGAGACATGAGAGAGTTTGGGAGTTAAGATAATGTAAAGAGTGAAGGGGCAATAGAAATCTAGGGAAGACCAGCAAGGAAAGGAGACATGAGAGAGTTTGGGGGTGCAGATAATGTAAAGAGGTGATGAGGCCATAGCAATCTATGGAAGATCAGCAAGAAAAGGAATGTAGCTGCTTTTCTTTCAGACCTTTGAAACTCCAGAGACTAGACAAGATTTTTGAAGCTGATAACACCAGAGGTGGTGTTAGCTGTCAAGATATTCTAAGTTTTGGTGCTGGGGAATGTGTGACATCAGCTCAGTTGCTTT